GAAGTCAAGATATTTCATGGATGTGATAACTCAAGATTATATTAAATAAGTACATTTTCCCTGGCTTATAAAAATCCCATAAATTCATTTTCCCCAACCTAGTGGAGAGTAGAAAGTATGGTTTTTAATGTCAGTCTTTTCAGAGTCATGGCAAACACACCTTGACATTTTCAAGCTACCTCAGAATTTATGGAATCACAAACGACATCTCATTTTTCGAGATTCCAAATTATTTATCCTTTAAAATAATAGGAAAACCTCTAATGGCCTTAAAGGCCATTAGCAAGAATATCAAGGATGTCTTATTTAAAAATGTCTGTAGGGGTGCCCGGGTGGCTCAGTAGGTTAAGCATCTGCCTTTGGCTTGGGTCATGATCCGGCACCCTGGGGTTGAGCAGGGCTCCTTGCTCGGCAGGGAGCCTTCTTCCTCTCCCTCTCCCTCGACTGCCACTCCCCCTGCTTGTGCTCTTTCTCTCTCTCTGTCAAATAAATAAATAAATAAAGTCTTAAAAAAGAAATGTCTCTAAGCAATGAGAGGTACAAATAGATAATAAAAAAATGAATATCCACGTGTAAATGTATGACCATCAGGCAAATTTATCTTAAGAGAACTGTTGAATCTTTAGCAACGTGGTGAATAGGGAAGTATTTGAAATTTTTCCTATTTTCCTGTAGGTATTACTCCATTATATTTTAATATTTAATGATGAGTAACAGGTCAAAGTTTACAAGGTGTAGACTTCCCACACATTCCTCACCTCATAAGAGGCAAAGCCAGTAAGAGTGATCTTCTGATGAAAAAGCTAATGTTCCAGTGGGAAAACAGAGTTGCTTTGTTTTGGACCCTCATTCTTTTGTTATACAATGATCACATATCATCTTAGATGAATTGGTTGCCAGTCCCTCCATAATAAGATGAAAAGGAAAAACATTTTTTATAAACACACAATACAGTTTTATTATCCTAACAAGGAGCTACCAGAAATAACAATCTTTCTAGTGAATTATTATCTGAAAGGAAGTCCACTGATCCAAATAAAGTTTTTATTATGGGTGGATATTAAGCAATTTTTCAGTGACAACTGAAATCTAATGGAGTATCTCCAAATTTGATGAAAGAACCACCCATATAATTTGAAGAGTCCTTGGGAGTATCTCCCATGTCCTATTATGTGTTCACTCTGTCTGCCTCAGGACACAGCCATTACAATGTTATGATCTGCTATTCGCATCACTTCTCTAGAATCTGATGCTCGTGCTGCTTCTAATAGGCCCTACTTTTAGGGTATTCATATATTAGGTCATCCAAGCTAGGCCATTTGACAATGAAAGGCAGAACTATTACTAATTACACCAGGGAAACTGGTGTTAACTAGACTAGTTCTGAGCAAATAGAGATATCTGGTCATCATTCCAAGATTGGTTCCATTAGGGCCATCATGTTATGAAGACATAAGATGTTTCACCAAAAAAAAAAAAAAAAAAAAAAAAGGCATTATGCTCTGTTTGTGCCCTGGCTGACAGCAACTACTTAAGTTTTGCTCCGAATTTAATGTCTTTCAATGCCCAGATCTAAATTCATGGAGTCAGGCTGCAGAAACAATCTCTGGACAGATATCATGCTTCTTTGGGACTTAGAATGATGATAAATTTAAGATATAATTCTAATCTGAGACACAGTGAACCCCATTAATATAACAGGAAACTAGGGACTAAGGAAGGAGTTGGATGATAAGGAATCTTTATGAAAGCTCATGGTGGAGATAGGAACAGTGAGATCTGAAGTCTAATTAGGGTTTTTCTTTCTTCCTTTTCTACATTGTCATTCCCTTATATCTTCCTCAAACTTTCAGTTAGTAAATAGAAGCCCAGAACTAGCTACAGTTCAGGGAATGAAGGGAATGTATATCCATGCATGGGATAAAACAAACTAGACCAAGAACTGCATCAACATTGATGACATCAAAGAATAGGCAGAAATAACTGGCCCTGAAGACGAAATAGTGGTGTGGAACAAGAGATCAGCCACAACCAGTAATCTCTAAAAACTCTCATCCAGTCACCTTTCAGCTCTTCTATCTCCCTCTGAATGGCACATTATTCTCTCCTAAGAAAGTCAACTAAAGTTCAAAAATTGCTAGTCTCTCTTTTCCCTAAACATTTTTCAAAGAGCCAATCTACAATATGGTGGTTCCACTTTCTGTGCAACTACAGAATGACCAGCTCTAAATCCAACAATCCAACCATGAATCAGTGAAACAACTCTGACCCCATTTTTAAAAATCTCTTATTCTATTTTTTAAAGTCCTATTTGGGTAAACCGGGTTCTAGCCAGCTTCTCATTGACCATCATGATGAAAGAAAGTAATGCAAAGGAGTGACACAAAAAGTAATATATATGACCTTTCTGGAAAGAAATTCCAAAGAACTCCACCTTGGGAATAAATATATTTGAAGTGTATCAGGCTGTGAACCTGTTATATAAAACCTCTACTGTAGTTTATCAATCAAATCTTTCATGACCTCCTCGGGAATCCTGACAACTTCTGGTTTGAGACAAATGTTGTTGGCTCTATGTACTGGAGAAATTGAAAACATTTTATCCCCCCATATAGTTTCAGAAAGTACACCATTCCAAGAAGTCACTTAAGTCTTAGGTCTTTTTGTTATTGTTAGTTAGATACAGGGTGTAGGAAAGATCTAGAACTTGTGGTTCTCTCAAATTTCCTGGGAAATATTCTCAGAAAATAATTAGGAAGAGAACTAAAAGATTCAAGGAGAGGGACGCCTGGGTGGCTCAGCTGGTTAAGCATCTGCCTTTGGCTCAGGTTGTGATCCCAGGGTCCTGGGATCAAGTCCTGCATCAGGCTCCTTGCTCAGTGGGGAACCTGCTTCTCCCTCTGACTGCTGCTCCCCCTGCTTGTGCTCTCTGTCTCTGTCTCTTTCTCTCTGACAAATAAATTAATAAAATCTTAAAAAAAATAAAAGATTCAAGGAGACAGAAATAGAAGTAGCATGACAATGAAATAAAGGAGTCATTTCTCTTTCATTGCTGCCTCTTTCTGAACTATAGGGGGAAAATAAGTCTCTACCTTATAATTAAAAGTAAACACAAAATTGTAAAAAATTTAAAGGATAGAATAGAAAACCAAGAATATTTTAAATAAAATTTTTAAATAAAAATTAATTAAATAATGTGGGGTTTTAAGCAGCATTTAAAAACTAAAGCAATTAAACAAATGAATAAAACCAAGTAACTTAAAACCTTAAAGTGTTCTGAAATTGTAAAAGAAACATAAGCTAAATTACTTAAATTTTGAAATAAAAAAATTCCGAGGATAATACAATAGCAGGAAAGAAAAAAAAGATGTAATACCCAACATTAAAATCTAACATGAATATTTAAAGTGTGCAATTCAAATCAGGATAAAATAAAATGATAAAAAGTAAATATTTTTTAAAGCCAAAGGTTACCATACAGAATAAAGAAATATAAATCCCAGATAAAAATCAAATGTAAAAACCATCTAAAGGTAGACCCACCATTCCCTAATAACAGAATTCCTTTTGGATCAGCAACATACTTCATGGTTAGAGAGCCAGTGGGACAAAGGAAAAGATATAGCTCGACTTTAATCCATGGATAGTTCACTCAGAAGGTTTTTTTTGCTTTTAATTTTCAAATGGCTTTAAAAATCAGGTATTAGGGGGCGCCTGGGTGGCTCAGTTGGTTAAGCGACTGCCTTCGGCTCAGGTCATGATCCCAGGGTCATGGGATCGAGCCCCATATCAGGCTCCTGGATCTGCGGGGAGCCTGCTTCTCCCTCTGCCTCTGCCTGCCACTCCCCCTGCTTGTGCTCTCTCTCTCTCTGTCAAATAAATAAATAAAATCTTTAAAAATAAAAAAAATTTAAAAATCAGGTATTAAGTTCCAAGTCCAAAGCAGTTAGATCCCATGTATCAGAAGATCTTTGGGGAAAAAAGCTGTCAAAGTAGATATGTTGAAAGTAATAAAGAATAATAATTTAATGCCTCATAGGTGGAGGTGAACAAAAAGTTATAAAAAAATAATACTATTCTAGAACCAAAAAGTTTACTATTATACAGCTACATAGACAGAGGAGAATCAGCATTACATATTTGAATAGACTCCAAGTAAATCAGACTCTTCTAGTAATTACAGTACTGTAAATTCATAATTTTAACTGAGTTTTAAAAATCTGAAACCAGTTTTCATTTTGTCTTGTAAAGAAAGTATGAAATTGGTTTTGGAAATAATCTTATAAAAAAAACATGTTATATGCAAACAATGAATCATAGAACACTACATCAAAAACTAATGATGTAATGTATGGTGATTAATGTAACAATAAAAAATTTAAAGAAAAAAACTAATGACGTAATGTATGGTGATTAACATAACACAATAAAAAAACAAAAACAAAAAACAAAACAAAACAACAACAACAACAAAACACATTTTAAAGATTTTAATACAAGCGTAACTCTTTCCTGTCTGGAAATCTCTCTCATTATTATACAACCCTTCTACTTGCCCTCACAATCAAGCTCTTCAACAACAAGAACAAGAGCAAACTACAATCATTGACTCCTAAAACATAGACATTTATTTACTTATTTTCTTTTTCTTTTTTTTTAAGATTTTATTTATTCATTGAGACACAGAGATACAGAGAGAGAAAGCATGAGCAGGGAGAGAGGCAGAGGGAGAAGCAGGCTCCTCACTGAGCCAGGAGCCCAATGTGGGGCTCAATCCCATGACCCTGGGATCATGACCTGAGCCGAAGGCAGCCGCTTAACCATCTAAGCCACCCAGGTGCCCTATTTACTTATTTTCATTATGCCTGCACCAAAAAAATTTTAGAGCTTGAGAGATTTGAGAGATGAATTTAACACAGTAGCAAGAACCTGTTTCGCTCTTTGGTTTCTCTAATTGATTTCCACATTGTGATTATAAAAATTACCTGTCCCTTTCCCATTTACTTGTTAAACACATTTCTTCTCAGTAGGTGTTTAACTGCCTCCTTCACATCCTTGTTCCTGAGACTGTAGATTAAAGAATTCATCGTAGGAGTAATAACCCCATACAACATAGATATAAGTTTGTCAGTAGCATCCAAGTCATCTGAATTAAGTGTCTCTTTAGACTTGGGCTTCATGTACATGAAGAGAATGGTTCCATAGAATATTATCACCACAGTCAGGTGGGCTGAGCAGGTGGAGAAGACTTTGCTTCTCCCCTCAGAAGAGCGAATTTTGAGGATGCTGACAATGATTAATGTATAAGAGATAATGATTAATAACAGTGGTGTCAATATAAACAATGTTGTGGCCACAAGCATGATGAACTCATTGCCTGAGATGTCAGCACAGGCCAGTTTCATGACAGCCAGAATTTCACAGGAGAAATGATTGATAATGTTATTCCTACAGAAAGGCAATTGTACCACAAATGCAGTTTGTACTGCAGAGTTGAGGACACCTATGATCCAGGACCAGCTGCCATGGGCACAAAGGAATCCTTGCTCATGATGACAGGATATCTTAGGGGGTTGCAGATGGCCACATATCAGTCAAAGGCCATCATGCCCAAGAGCACACACTCTGTTGTCCCCATGGCCAAGCCAAGGAACATCTGCGCTGCACAGCCAGAGAAGGAGATGGTCTTTCTTTCTGAGAGGAAGCTCACCAGCGTGGAGGGAATAGAGGTGGTGGTGTAGCAGATGTCCAAGAAGGAGAGGTTCCCCAGGAAGAAGTACATAGGGGTGTGAAGGTGGGAGTCCAAGATGCTGATTAAAATAAGGGTGCCATTGCCCAGAAGGATGACAACATACATTATTAAGATTAGCACAAAAAAGAGTAGCTCAAGCCTTGGGTAACCAGAAAGCCCCTTTAAAAAGAATTCCACCAGAATGGTTTGATTTTCCCATTCCATTTCACTTTCTCTTACCTGTAAGAATTCAAAACAATTTTTAAGCATAATTATTTATTCTGGGAAATCCAAGTTCACCAATGCACATATATAAAAATTTGCCATAGACCCAATGAGAAGGAAGAAAGAAAATAAAGAAGGGGAAGAAGAGAGGAAAGGTAAAGAAGTGAAATAAACAACAAGGAAAGTGAAGTATGAAGAATCTACTGTATCCACCATTCTGGGCCAGCAATTTTTGAGGCTGATTTCACACATCACCTCACTTAAACCCCACACTTATGATCATTTCAAAGATAAGAAATTTATAAGAGTTTAAGCCTAAAGTCATATAATTAATATGTTGCAAAGCCTCGGCCCAAACTCAAGCTTGCTGTGGTCCCTAATTATCTGAAATGTCTTATGAACTATAAAAGCAATAAGGAATGCATTATATCAGAGACTTGGTTAGCTAACTTGTAAAGACAGCCTGGCTCCTAGTCAGGAAGACTCAATAATAACCCATTGCATATTAAAACATGGAAAGAAGTGTGTTAATTGGATGGGACAATGGTCAGCAATAAACCCAACCAGTATTTATTGACTGCCCTGATTGCCCAAAAAACAAGTACAATTCCCGTAAAACCCAATTAACTGAAGTCTTCTTGTTACAATGCAAATATCCTTTTTTTGGTGGGAGATAGAACAAAACTGTAATAATTATCATACAGTAAAATACATAGTAAAGTTGATTTTTTTCTCTTTTAGTGTATAGTTCTATGAATTTTAAAACATGTATAGATTCATATAACTATCGCTATAATCGGAACACAGAACTTGTCTTTCACCCTAAACACTCCCTTGTGCTATCCGTTTTTCAACCCTCCTTTTGTCTATGCATAAATCTTGCAAAGACTAAAATGCTTTTTATTCTATAGTTTTACCTTTTCCAGAATATCATATAAAAGGAATCATATGAGCCATTGGTCTCTGGCTTCTTTCTCTTAGCATAAATCCTCTGAGATTCATCCAAGTTGTAATTGCTGAGTAGCATGCCACTGTATGGATGTACTAGAGTTTGTTTATTTACCTACTGAAAGACATTTGAGTTGTTTCCAGTTTTATGGCAATTATGAATAAAGCTGTTATAAAATTTATACCCCCATTTTTGTGTAAACATAAGTTTTCACTTTTCTACGGTAAATTTCAGAGTGGCATAGTGCTAAAGAATCGTGCATATTTAAGTTTATAAGAAACTGCAAGTTCCAGAGTAGCTGTATCATTTTTGCATTCCTACCAGAAATGTATGGGAATTATAGCTGCTTTTCATCCATATATATATATATGTATATATATAATATTTATAATTATATATATTTTTTGCCCATTTTAATCGGATTGTTCATTTTCTTTTTGTTGAGTTTTGAGAGTTCTTCATATATTCTGGCTATGAATAATATTTTGGATATATGACTTACATATATTGTCTACAAGTCTGCAACTTGTCTTCTCATTTTCTTAATGCAAAAAAACTTTTCATTGCCACTTTAACCAGTTGCTGCTTAAGTTCAGCTGAAAGAAAGACTGTGACCAAAAAGACATTTTCTAAAAGGGCAGTTCTTTGACACCTCTCACCTTGGGTTATTCTTCAGGAAAATATTCACTGCCATCACTCAGGGATCAGAAACAATAGGTTTTGCATCCAAAGACTTTGCCTTATAAAGTCTCAGGCCTTCCTTTATTTTTCTTCATAAATAGCACCCCTCCCACACACACATACAAATTTCCTTTCTTATGGACACGGAATCCATTGAAAAGGTTCTAATTCACTCAAAGACACCTGACATTTAGAACATTTCTCCCTACTCAGGAAAATTAGTGTGAATTTTAGGTCTGAATCCTTTGGACCTATTTTAACTGGCTTCTAACTACTTATATTTGCCTTTGGTTATTATTAGGGTACTTCTTCTTTCATCCTATTTTTGCCCTTATTTCAATCAACTTCATCTTCTATGGATTCTTTTATACATTAAAGATGCATGCTTCTTTTATTCTGAGTCCCAGGTTCACCTTCTTTAATGCTAACCAGCCAAATCTCAATTCCTTGGTAAATGATGACTAAGAAGTAAATTCACTCTGCAAATTCACTTTGTCTATTGAAGCAAACATTTTTTTTAAGAAATTAAGATTTTTACTGACATGCAGATGTACATTAGAGTTAATGTTTCTACAAAAAGGTTCTATAAATAATAGAAGTCCACCTACTAATTTTCATCACATGGATGAAAATTTTCATGACACAGATGGATGTTATGTCAAACTCTACTCACATTGTAATGAAGAGTGTTATGCCCCCATAGCAAAGGCCAGCACCACTTAAAGCAAGAAACTCAGGTCGACATGTTTAAAGAAAGGCTATTTCAATTCATTCATATAAAAGTTAAATGAGCGTGTGTGTGAGTGTGTGTGTGTGTGTGTGTGTCAAATATGTCCCAAGTTAACCACAGGAATGCATTACCAACAACAACAAAAAATTAAAAGCACTCAAAACAATGCTCCAAATACTCTTATAACAGTGAAAATCAAAATTCTTCCCTTTTAGCTAAAAACTCTTTTCTCTGCTTCATTTACTTTTTACACAAATCAAAATATGTATTCAAGAGCAAGTAATAAGTTTTCCAAACAGCAGCCCAGTGAAAGGCTCCAGGACAGGGACTGTTTGTCTGTTCATGATTAGCACTAGACAAACATTTGCTAAACGGAACCAAAGAGAACTGAATTGGTGTTATGAGGTAAATTGTTACAGAATCCGAAAACTGGTAACACAAGCTTACTTTACGTTCTGGATCAAGAGTGCAAATCTGCGGCCTATTGTACAGCAACCTCACCAGACCAGTGGGAAATGACATCATTACATATGTAGGGACTACTGAACCAAGAACCCAAAACTATATTATTATTAAATGAATTTTTATTCCCAGTAAAATAAATTCTAGACCTAAATATCCATCTTTTTTGGATATTCAAATTATTCTTTTGGTCATATTTCTAAATTTTGTCTCTATTTTCTCACTGTATCAATGAAAATCCTCTTGGAATTTTTTTATTCCTATTCTATATAGACTCTTCAGAGTAAGAAATATTCTATCCCCCATACACATGGCTATTTCGACTCAGTTCATTGGACTGACATCCCCTTGGATTTGTTTTATTAGTATGTTTTCAGCAATTACCTCTAAATCGAAGATCGATTCATCACCTAGGTTGCAAAACACAGCAGATTGTTTTACCTTGATCTTCTATTCGCAGCCTATTGTACAAAATTTTCCTTGAGGCTGATGAATGTCTGAAGGGACAACCACTGAGGACCACAATGTCACAGGCCTTGTTGTCTGGAAAACATTGATGGCAAGGGTACTATTGCAAAATTGTTTTAAAAACTATACATAACAGCCAAATATGATTGATTACAAAGGGAGTGTATTTTGGCTGTGCTAGCTCAAAAGTAAGATAAAGGGGCACGTGGGTGGCTCAGTCGTTAAGTGTCTGCCTTCAGCTCAGGTCATGATCCCAGGGTCCTGGGATCAAGCCCCACATCGGGCTCCCTGCTCTGCGGGAAGCCTGCTTCTCCCTCTCCCACACCCCCTGCTTGTGTTCCCTCTCTTGCTGTCTCTCTGTCAAATAAATAAATAAATAAAATATTTTTTAAAAAGTAAGATAAAAATAAGTATCTGAGAATATGGAAGATTTGCCCTTCAAGCCCTGGTGGAACCATTGCCCTATTGTGAAGACCCAGGAATTTCTCTAAAGAATTTTCTCTGCGCTCAGGAAGGCAATTTAAATATTTCTTGCTCTAAGGGACTTATGCACTTTTCTAAGCCATAGCTTTAAATTGCTTCAGGGGAAAGACGTTCAAAACTTTTGAAAACTTCAAGAATAATCCCCTACAGACTTAATTATATTAGATCCATACCGTGTATCAAATAACCAGTCAGGATATGTCTTAACCCATTCTGTATTATCATGTACTGCTGAAATTCTTAATCCAAATATATTCCAGTGGCTTTGTCCATACCTTTGTTCATCCTACCATTTCTTATTGATAATATAGTAGAAACACCTCATTTAGCTACATTAGCTCTTGGTTATTAATAGTAAGAGTAAAAACTTATAAATTTCCAGGCATTGTTATAAGAATTTTATATATATTAAGTCATTTAATTCTTATTTGTTTAATTAGTGAGTGAAGAGAAAAAGTGTTTTATTGTACAAAATAATCTAAAAATTATTGAAGTTGAAAATCAGAATTTACTTGTACTTATATGAATATGAGTGGCATTTTGAAATCCACAACAAATTCAGAAATTTTGCAACCATTCAGTGAAAACCTAGAAGCCATTGAGCTATTCAGTTTTCTTATTGCAACTCTATAACCTAATTTGTAGCTCAATCCCACTCCATACTGTAAGCATCTCCAAAGAATTCACCTAAACAGGGGCACCTGGGTGGCTCAGTCAATTAAGCCTCTGACTCTTAGTTAAGTTCAAGTCATGATCTCTTAGTTTCAGCTCAGGTCCTGGAGTCAAGCTCCACCCCCGTGTGTGTGTATGCGTGTGTGTGTGTGTGTGTGCACACGCACGCCAGTCTTACTTTCTCTCACTCTCCCAAATAAATATTTTTTAAAAGAATAGATATACTTATCACCCACATTAATTGACATAAAATTACCCCCTATCTAATACAAACAGTTCGGAGGTAAAGATGAATATATGTATAAAATACTAGGTACTCTCAGCCAACTTCTACTTCTGAAGGGTGTGCTCTCCTTTCCTTGAACTGCTTCACCCAAACAATGAATATAATTTGTTTACCATGAAACCACTAACCCAGGTAAAACAGACTTTGACTACAGGTCTAAGAACAGTAGGAAAAAATCATAGCACTGAACAGAAACAAGTTAAAACTGGATATCCAATATCATTGTTTCTAAAGTTCATTGATCTGACCATAAGGAATTGCTTCTTGGT